CACCCCGTCTGCGCGGAGTCGGTTTTGCCGGGTCTGGACCCGTTTTCAGCGGTTTTGCCTTGTATCGACCCTTTTCTGAAGGAGCCGTTCTCGTACCGAGCGGTGGTGCGCCCAGCCCTCTCTCCAGTTTGCTGTCACCTCAGCGGTAAAGCGGACAGGTCGCCCTGGTAGCCCGGCTGTTACCGCCGTCTCCCCCCCACTCTGCCCTCTCGGGGGCCAGACCTTGGGGAACGGCCCGTGGACAACGACCACGTCAGGTTGTAAGGGAATCTGGAAGTCCTCGGCTGGGAAAGGAGGAAGGCTTACCTAAAGGAGCCTTCCCGTCACGGAGCTAAGAGGTGGGAGGAGGGTGCAGGTTGGAAATGTGTCACCGAGAGGGACACTGGCCGTTTTGAGGGACTTGAGAAGGGGAGAGTGGGGCTGGCTTTGGAGACCATCCCTTATTCTGAGGGTCCGGGGGAAGTAACACTGAGACTTGTCAGGTGCACGGCTTGCCCCACGGCCTGGGTTGAGCGTAGGTATCCCAGGCTGCTAAGGAAAGGGTGTTCTGAAGTGCCTGGTAGACTGGGGTTGGAAATGTTCAGCGAGCAACACATGTTCTGTGCTGACATGCACATTGTCTGTCTTACACTGCAGATAAGTTTGGGAGCTTATTGAAACAAATCTTGGGTTTAGAAAGTCAGTTGTATCTCCTTTTCTGACCATCCATAGTTTTACTGTTCTTATATTGAAAACTGTCTGGATTACTTTTTTTTTTTCTTCAGCAACTATGTGTCTTTGCTGTTTTTCCTCCTCAGAGTTATGTAGCTTTTGTTGTTTGTGTTCTGTGCTGGTTCCTCCAATGTAATTACGTATGTACTGAAATGAATCAGAACACTGTAACAGGTAACATTTGAATGGCCAGCAGATAGGATGTGGGAAAAGGGGTAACTTTTGTAAAATGGGACTTCTGTTTAAAAAAAAAATAAAATAATAAAAATCTCGAATTAACTCCCAGGCACCTTTATCTTCATGTAATTTTGTTTTCACAATAAATAGAGCTTGCATATCTTCTGTAGGCAGTTTTCCCTATCTCCTTCAGGGTAGCGTATCTATGCTTTTAAACGTCAGTGGTGTTATGACTCTGAGATAAAGTTGTGTTACTGTGTTTGTATTTGTTAAGCTCGTCAGGACTATGCAGTGTATCACAATCACTATTAGGGTCATCCTGTAAGCCAGCCTTTTATTTTGTTGTGTTGTGACATTATAGCATTGTCAGATATTTACTTGATCTTGGTGAAGAAATCTGCTGGCTTATCCATATATATAAAGAAATCTTAGTTTAATCCTTTCTTAAATAAAAAAACCTCTTTTACTTAAGGCAGAGATAATTTGCCAGAGGGTGTTTGGGAGCTGCTGGGTGTGCAGCTGTGTCAGGAGACCTGGGGACTGCAGCCTTTCCACCCGCACCAGGTGTAGCAAGTGCAGGATGCTTGACTGCTGCCATAACTAGTACCTGCCCCTTGAACTTTATCGATAAATGCTTTGTTTCTAGGTGGAGTGTGAATAGTTTTCTTTTACATGAGGTGATTTTGTGTGTACTTTTCTGGTACACTTCCTATTCTCAGGCAGGAGTTCACTTTTCAAACTCACGGTTCAGGCTTGTCTTCATCACACACTTCCTGTTTTGAATCACTCTGCCATGTTCCTGAAAACAGATTTGACCTATCTTTCTGGTTTCTCCCCTTAAGTTTATTTTGGTATCGGCTTAAGCATATTTTGATTGCGTCCATAATTGGATCTCTTTTAAAAATGATTCAAACAAATTCCAGCACATACAATTTAATGAAATTTAAACCTGAAATACCAATTTGCTCATAACCTGACAGCTCACTCTGTGTATTTTCAGACTATCTAACACTGTGTTCCTTTTCCCTTTCCCATCCCCACCTGTTACTTCAGAACAAGTAAATGGTACTATTAAAAAAGCTCCTTCATTTAAACCAGTGTGACTCAGAAGACAGGTTGCAGTGCTTAACTTCCCGTTGCTTTTTGATCAGTTCACTCTCCATGATGCAAGCTGTTGAATCCACACTGTTCCATATCATTTATGCTTCTAAACTGGGGCCTGGGCTGCTGTCCGTCCTCCCTAACAATTAGTAGGAGCAAACAGCGTTCTCTTGGCCTGCTGTGCAGAACTTCTTGGTTCCCTTGCAAATCTGTCATCTTTTTTTTTTTAATTGTCATTTTTTTTGCAGCACACCATCCACACTTCAATGGTGCCAGTTTTTGACAGATTCTACATAAACGTGGATTCTTTCATCAGTGTGATTTAAGTAGAGTATACAAGCTGAAATTCTACGCAAGGCCTCAGCTTTTTTTCTTCAGAAGAATTTTTAAAGCCCCATTTCTGCTATGAAATGACCAAATAAACAGCAACTTACTTTATCATGGCTAAATAGACGTTGTTTCGAGCCATTTAGGTTAGATACTGAGATGGATTTCATCTGAAAAAACCCTAATGGTGACTGTTAGTCAAAACAGTGAGGTTCACAAGCAGCCTGTAACTAGTGATTGAAAGAAGAAACGTAATGGCTTTCAGAAGAATCCTATTAGTTTATCAATGAGTGTGTGATAAGGTTGTCTGTAATGAAAAGGGACTAGACTCATTAATCTGGAAGGCTGCCTCCAGTCTTGGGTTGTTAGGTTAGCGCTAATGCATCTCTTTTCATTGTTATTTTTTTACTACCTAGAAGTGAAAGTTGTTAAAATAATGGAATGATTTAATAAGGAGGTTGTGTGCTTGTTATTAATTTGTTTTTTTAAATTAGGTTAGGTGTTTTTCTCCTAAAACATATGCTTTAATTTGGCTCTGGGCTCTGATAGTTATCATCTGTGAATAGATGCTCCCATCCCTCATGGCCTGTGGTTTGAACAGGTTTGCCTACATTGCCTTCAGCACACACACAACATCAGCTCTGCTTAAAAACCACAACTATGATCAGATCTCATGTTTCAGGGATTCACTAAATTTATTGCATGGGTCAGAGAGGACTTTTTTATGATGCACAATTGCTTAGATGTATTCTGACAGGATGCAGAAGATCTCTCATCAGATACTGGGCTTGTGCTGTACTCGCTTATTTAGCCTCAAACTCACCTCTGGATTTGAAATTAAGAATTTTCCGAAATAGAAGAGATCTTGAATTCCTTTTCTTTCTCCTGGGATGCGCTAGATCTGAAGGTCTGTCTTGCTACTCAGTTACTACAGGGTTCTTGGCCCGTTGAGTCTCTTGTCATTGACAGAAAACTGGAGTTTCTTCTGAAGACTGAGCTGAGAGCAGCAGAGGGACCTCGGTTTAATGTCCTGTTGTGCATATATTCAGTTTCAATCTGATGTAACTTTCGTACTTGGTTTTATACTTTTTGATGTTTGAAGCTACATAATAGCTAGTATATGATGTTTACTTCTTCTGCCCTCTGTCAGTTGTCTTTCTGGTTTGCTTATAAGATGGCATAGACTTCTGAGTTTTTCAAAAGAGCAGGTAGGTACTAGTGTTAGAAATATTTCTGTCGGACTCCACTAAATTACGTGTGAGCCCTTCAAGAAGGTAATAAATTTAGTGTTCTGATAGGCTTACAAAGAAAAATACTGTATTTTCATAGGAAGAACTGCAAAAAGTGGGGCTTTTTTCAGAGTTTGCACAGCGGTCTCCTTGCTGTCTTAGGACTCCCACATCCCCAATCAGCGCAAGGACTGTTACTGGCCTGGCAAGGTTGTAACATTTACAAGCTCATATAATGGCTAAGCAGTAAAGCTAAGGTTAGAAGTCAGGGCTCCTCATTTTAGGCTCTGTGTTTGCAATACAAGGTCATGTTGCCTTCTGTGTTGTAATTGATGTGTTCTTTTTCAGATCCTTGTTGGGCATCTATAAACAGGGGGATTCTGATCTGTGACGAATGCTGTAGTGTTCATCGAAGTTTGGGGCGTCATATCTCTCAAGTGAGACATCTCAAGCATACGCCATGGCCTCCCACACTGCTGCAGGTAAAAAGTAAAACTGCGTCTTCCTTCATTAACACTAGACATATTAATTTTTTTAACATTTTAAAATGGAACTTAAATTGCTGAGCTTTTGTTTGAGAGGGGCTGGTCCTTTTAAGCTTTCTTTTTCTAAGTTAGTCTTTTATTTCTCTTGTTTTGCCATGATGGACCACTAAAATCAGAATTGTCTGTGCCTTTTTAATTTGACGCCTTTGTTTTGGAAAGTCACCTTCAGCTTTTCTTTCAGACTTGTGCAATGCATCTGCTTCAAACAAAGTTTTCAACATACAGCAAGCCTCTCTTTTTTCTGTAGAGCTGCTGGTGGGAAGAGTAGAGAATTTTAAGAGGGTTCTTATTACATTCCATATAATAACCTCCTAGGCATGTGCCTGGTTCTGATATCCCAGTAGGTTATGGATGCTGGCACGTGAATCTGTTGGCTTGCTGTCTGCTTGAAAATAATTACAGATATTTGATCAGTCAGTCTGTGCAGCTAGCAGCAAAGTTCTTTACTGCCTGTTTGTATGCATTTTGGATTTCAGATGGTTGAAACACTGTACAATAATGGTGCTAACTCCATATGGGAACATTCGTTGCTGGACCCTGCCTCTGTTATGAGTGGAAGACGCAAAGCTAGCCCACAGGATAAAGTGCAGTAAGTGGAAAATTACAGAATTTTTATTTTTGTAGAAGTGTGATTATTTTGTTCAGTAATGACAGAGGAAACAAGGTATCCATGGAACATTTTGTTGCTGGAAGAGAACAGGAGTAAACTAGTTGTTTATTCACTGATTTTTTGCTTTTTTATTTAAAAAAATTCCAATAATTAGTTTTTTTAAATTTATTGCAAAAATAGAAATACATTGCTTGAATTTTCCAAACTATTGATTCCTGACCTTTAGCTTCAAATAGTGAAAACCTTTACTTGTACTTGAATCAAAAGACTTTTAATTCTTATGCCACATGCTTCAGTTAACTGAATGCTGCTAATGAGATTAAATTTGGTTGATGAATTAAAAAAAAATATTTCTATCGCTGTATATGGTGCTTCATTTTAAAATGTAAATAACTGCATATAGTAAATATAGATCTTAAGTTGACATAGTTTGAACGTTTACATCTGCAAAATACACAGTACATCCTAGAGTCTGCAGATATTTTGATGTTTGTAACAAAAGTATGCTCTGTATAGTTAGACAATCTGCACTGGGTTGCTTTTTTAATGAAAATATTCTTCTGTGTCTAACTTTGCTACTAGTAGCATGCGAAGATCTAATGCAATCTTCACTTGTGAATCTTCTTTTGTCTAGAGCATCTGTATTACTGTGAAATCACTAATAATTGTTTTCTTTCCCTTCTGTTGCTTTGGCTTCTCTTTGCAGTCCCAATAAAGCAGAATTCATTAGAGCTAAATATCAAATGTTAGCATTTGTTCATCGCTTGCCATGCCGAGAAGATGACAGCGTTACTGCCAAAGATCTTAGTAAGGTTAGTATGTTTTTTTTCTGGCAGTCTGCAGAAGCTACAACTTGTGCGTAACGGAACAGTGAAATCTGACTGAATTAAATTAGTTGCTTTTGACTTGAGATAACTATTGCTGTGCTTCAGCGCTATTACGTAAACAAATACAGCATGACTTCAACTTGAAGCCACTTTTTTTGGTAATATATATGGATACTGGACATGTGGATGGTTGAGAGGCATTAATTTGGGCTAAGGAGAAAAGATGTTTACATAAACCAGCTGCAGCAAGAATTCTTGCATACCCATTTCTAAAAGCATGGCTGAAAAAACAAATGCTGAATCACAGTTATTGCCGCTGTATTAAGTACAATCCTACTTGTTTTTCAGCAACTCCATTCCAGCGTAAGGACCGGGAATCTGGAAACGTGTTTGCGATTACTCTCCTTAGGAGCTCAAGCCAACTTCTTTCATCCTGTATGAACACTTTTTTCATTATTTTGATATACAGTCAATTCTTATACGTCGTAATATTTATTCTGATTTCAGCTGATACACATTATATTTCAATCTTTTACTCAGACCTGTTGATTAAGTAAATATTTTTCTCAATAACTTGTAGGAGAAAGGAAACACCCCGCTCCATGTTGCTGCTAAGGCAGGACAGACTTTACAAGCAGAATTATTAGCGGTTTATGGTGCTGATCCTGGCACGCAAGATTCCAATGGAAAAACTCCAATTGACTATGCAAGGTAGAAGGCTCTGACATGTATGATGCTGTTATATGTTAACTGATGTTCATAAATCACATGATGAATCTGCTTAGATATGTTTCTGTCCTGAAAATAATTTGACCGTTAAATGCTAATAAGTATGTTTTCCAGAAAGAGTGAATGCATAAAGAGTATAAATAAGCATTTTCATCATTTCATAGCCTGTATTCTCCTGGATGCTTGAGACAACAGTTGTGATCCCAATGAAACAGGCTGTGCCAAGCTACCAGCTCACAGAAAAGTAATCTGAGGAGAAGAATTTCTGCAGTTCAGCAAGCTGACTAGACTCCAGGAGTGCGGATTAACTAGGGAATTGCTGTAGGAAAGAGCTGGACTGCACAGATGGGTCAGGGAGCAGGGGATGGAGCCAGGCTTTTTAGTGGCAGTGAACTGTTAGGCGCATCCAGTCGCAGAACTGCACCCTCAGGAAAGCCTACCACATTCATGTCAAGAAAGATTAACCATGAATGTTTCTGCTGATCAGTTGGGCAGGAATGAGGCACTGCAAGACTTGCAGCACAGCGCTAAAGATTTTTGGTGTTTCTGTGCGAAATTGGACATTACTGATCAAGTAGAAGCTGTGCATTTGTGTAAATAAAACATCCTCATTGCTCTGCTTTTGAATTGAGGCCATACATGGAATCTGAAGACCGAATAAGTTCACTTGGTTGCAGAACACAGTATGCCAGAATATTTCTATTTTTCAATGCTATTAATCAAATGTGAAGTTGGGTGAGTTTGCTGCATGAGCTCAGGAACTGTCTAGAAAATTGTAAATAGAGTATTCAAAATAGCCTGTATAATCTGTTATTTTTCCTACAGTAAAGCAGTAGGCAAAGCTTTTCAGAGTCTTCACTGGCTCATTTTGGGGAGTTCATAAAAGTTTATCTATAGGTTTTTTCCCCACTGGAAGATACTGTTGAAAATCCTGCTGTGAGTCTGTGCTTTGATACACTCAAACATGTACAATGTTGAAGAGTGGCTTGTACTAAATCTATTTCTCTGACCATTTTTAAATTTTTTTGTATGTCTAAAAATGAATAACTAATGTAACTTTTGTGTGTGTGTGTAAACCAGACAAGGTGGGCATCATGAACTGGCAGAACGCCTGGTGGAAATTCAGTATGAACTCACAGACAGGTTAGCTTTCTATCTCTGTGGCAGGAAACCAGGTAAGTAGAAAAAACTACAGCCTGAGATCTTTCGGTGTTAATTATAGGGCAGTTAAAACTAAGGTATAGAGCGTTTGTGTCAGTGTGACTACACTTTTTATATGCATTTCAAATATTCTAATGTGATATACGTGAAGAAAGTATAAGATGTAAGATTAGTGATAATGCATTTAAAATTTAGATAAACCTGCAGGATTTTCAGTATTAAATGAAAAATTAAGTTCCTTTCTGTTTTTCCGCAAATATGTGTTCTATAAATGGAATACCCCTGAAAGTGTGGAGAAACCCACATATAAGGTCAGATGAGTGCTGTTTAACTTCAAGGAGCGAATTGCAGGGGAAATAAAAATTTTGTGAATGTTGAATAGTCTGTAGGAGATATTGTAGAAACTGTTGAAGTTTGGTGGTTTTTTTTCCACTGAAATGCAAAGGTAGGGGAGTATTCAATTAAGTAGGTACCTTTTGAACATGGGCACGCTTAAAAACTTTTAGCCATGTTAGCACTTAATTTTTTTTTAATGGAATTTTAATACAGTTGATAAGCCTGAATTACAATCTTCAACAGTACCAGGGAATTGTGGTAGAAACCTTCTTTTAAGACTTGCTAGCTTTCTGTAATTGGAAATTGAGTAATTACATGCAAGATAAATTATTCTATGTTTGCCTGTTGCGTATCTTCTTGGGTTTCTCATTGCTATGTCTTTTAGTAAAACTGAATACCAGCTGTATATCATGACGACATTAAAAACTGTAGTCCAGTAACAACCTATTAAAGTGCAATTTGTTTTCAACTCTAGAGCATAAGAATGGGCAGCACTTTGTTATACCTCAGATGGCGGACAGGTAGGTTGTTGATTCCATGTCATGTCTGAAAACATCAAAATAAAAAATAATTATTATTATTTAAATAAGAAGTAAGTTTCCTTTGCTTTCCAAACAACTTTTAAGGTTGTTGTCATTTCAACTTTTTAATGTGTGCCTTTATTGATCTTGGAAGCTTTTTTTTCTAGAAAGAATATTGGCATTTAAACAATATCAGAAAATTATAGAAGCTTACTGCATTTGTTAAAATGGAGGGGGAATGTGAGACAATTATATTAAGGGAAGATACATAGGGATTCCTGGGAAACAGATTTTGTGAATAATATAAGGACCAATTGAGTTAGTTTCCTGATACAGCATTTCAAAACTAATACTTGTAAGAAAGCTGCATTTTTCTTTGAAAATATTTATGCTTTTGATCATCCAAATGCTTTTAACTTTTGGTTACAATCAATGAAATCACATTTGTATAAAACATACCAAGTTTTAATCATAAGTGCCTATCTTTCTTTTATTGCTGTGCAATTGGAAATAAGACGGCTGTAAGTAAACTGTTCTACATATTGCTTGCAAAATTTCTGTGAAAAACTAATGAAATAAAACTTCTAGAAACCATGTAATAGTTGGTAAAATACTTAGTGTAAACGTGCAATTTTTTAGATATGCTGTGTTTAGCTATTGGATAAAGTACTGTGTATTTTCAGAGCAGAGTAAATATCACTTGCCTGATTGCACAGAGAGGGGAGGATGATACACAGAGAAAATGACTTGTTTAAAGCCACTGCTCAGAGCCTGCAGTACAACCTGTTTTACCTCTGCCTCGTGTCCTCCCCTGGTCTTGTCTAGGTGATTGCCTACACAGAGTTTTTATCTGAGCCTTTCCATCCTTGTAGGTCAGGGGAGTCTTCCCATGGGTGCTATAAATACGGACTTGAAATTTGTCAGCTTTCCTGATCTGTGGCTTTTGTGATAAATTGTGTTGAACTACACAATTTTCATCTTATGCCTCATGTTCATGTCTGGAAACAAAGAGAAGAGATTATTTACTGATCAGTACAGAATAATTTTAAGCAAGGCCTTATTGCTGTAGTCATTTGCAAGCCTGATAGTCACCTACCTCCTGCAGAGCCCAGTGAAATCCCGTGTGTTTTCTGTGAACTCAAGTTTTGGTCAGAATGATCATGTTGTTCAAATTCCTAACAGAAAGCATTTTGTTGCACTACAGCTTGACTGCTGCTTGAGCTATGCAAATGTGGGTATTTATATTCCAAAGGATTTTGGGATTCCTTTTGTTTTAAATTTAACATTGTTGTTTAGAAAAGCTTAAGAATATACCAATTGGTATATCAGTAATACCAATGTGTTAAAAACTGTATTAAAAATACTAAAAGACTAAGGAGTTTCAAATAAAAGTAACATTTTAATCATTGAATTATCGAAACATAGAATTTGTGTTTAAACAAACTATTAAATGCTGTCAATATAATGATCACTTTTTGTTTTCATAGCAGTCTAGATTTATCAGAACTTGCAAAAGCAGCTAAGAAGAAGCTTCAGTCCGTAAGTAAAACTTCTTTGAATGTCATAAACTCTGCACTTCATCTTTCAGGCTGGTTTCAGCTGCTGTTAATTCCTGCATAAATAAATGTGAACTCTGTAGCAAGTTAAACATCTGGAGAAAACCATGAAAATAGGCAGAAATGGAGGAGCAGAGATGATGAGAAATCCATGACGGAGAACAAGACTTGTTGGTCTTGTTTGGGGTAGTATCTCTAGGTCTGCCTCCCCAGTTCAAAACCTTAAACTTTGTTGTTTGTCTGGCGCTCATGTATTTCATATAAATCTGTACGTTAAATGTTACTCTTTGCCTTTAGCTTTCTGGAAAGCCAGAATAGTGCATTACTGTCTGCTAATTAGTTGGTTGTAATGCCAGTTCACTACTACTGAAGTGTTGGTGACCAAATCCTTGCACAAGGTAGAATGGGGATATGTTTCTCCCTCTACTTACAATTTGCTTCTGCTAAAAACTTTATCAAAGGATAAACATTTTTGCAGTTAGGGGAAGAACAATCCTGGTGATATTCTTCTATGCGACAATGTCTGTTTTTCTCTAAAGGTAATTAACGCTAGCAGTCATAAAAATTCCAGCTAAGCAAGCCAGCATGTGTAGAACTGGTATTCAGATACAAACCAAATACGAATCTTACTTTAGAACTGGCTTTCTACTGTTAACATGCTGTTAGTGGCTACTTTAATGCATTGCTAGCTAGAAGTAGCTGGATTCCTACATTGTATTTTTGCGAGTTGTGGTGGGTTGACCCTGGCCAGCAGCCCAGCAGCAGCACAGTTCCCCTAGCAGGACTGGGAGAGCATAGGAACAGCAAAACTGAGAAAACTTGGTCTTTTTTTAATCAGGCAGGAGAGAAAAATCTGTTAACCAGTAAATGAAAAGTGTAGCACAGTGGTGGTGTCCCTGTATCTAGCAATCAGTGATGGTACGTGCCTGCTTAATGGATTGCTGTACTATGCAGGCTGAGAAACAAGCAATTATATAGGCTGAAAAACAACCAAAGGAGAGCAGAGTTGTGCTCTTATAATTTCTGTTACAGAGATCTTACTAGGTTTTGTTTATTTTCAAGCTGTAATTATTCTCTTCTACCCTTAGCTAAGCAACCACTTATTTGAAGAACTTGCCATGGATGTGTATGATGAAGTTGACAGGAGGGAAACAGATGCAGGTGAATGACACTTTCTGGAATGTGTATAAAATTAATTTGAATTGTTACATTACATACAAGATGTTAGTGCAAGCACATGTTCTCTTTAAAGTACTTTTGTATTCAGTAATTACTGATAATGGTAGTTTCTTTGTCTTGCAATGTCTGAAGATGATGTTAATTGAAAAAATCTTGTGTTTTTTACAAAGTAGAGAACCCTCGGGGAGGGGAAAGCCTGCCTCTGAATTCATTGTGTTTGTGTTTGAAATTGTGGTCTTTTATTCTTTGACAAGAAACACTATCAAATAGTACAGGAAGGTTATTCCTTCTTTTTTTTTTTTTTTTTTTTGTTTTTTTTTCTTTTTTTTTTTTCTTTTCTTCCCTGAACAGTTTGGCTGGCTACTCAGAATCATAGTACACTTGTGACAGAGACCACAGTGGTCCCTTTTCTTCCCGTAAATCCTGAATATTCCTCTACCAGGAATCAGGTATGCAATCTTCTTAATACTGTAGAACATTTTTATTTAATAGGCCAGATATTCTAAGTAATATTGCTTCATTGCTCTAGAAGCGTTTTATCTACTTGTGAAGAGGTTAAAATAGTTTAACGTTTCCCCTGCCCTGGAGTGTGCAGCTGGATAATTTAAATCACACTTTTTGTAATAAATGTAACTAAACGATCAACTCACTGTGCTGTAGTCTTACTTTTACCTGGGAACTCTGCTGTTTATCTAATACATGATGTCCTTTTTTTTCTTTTTTCCTGTATTATTTTGTAATTTAGGGAAGACAGAAACTGGCTCGATTTAATGCCCATGAATTTGCTACGCTAGTTATAGATATTCTAAGTGATGCCAAACGAAGACAACAGGGAAATCCTATCACTGGTTCAAAAGGTGAGCATATTTTTGGTTGTTGGCTCTTCTATATGCAGTTCTTCAGTAGTTTAATCGATACCATAGCCTCATTCAAAAGTACTATGAATGGAGAAAGAGATTTATACTGGTTTTATAAATTATAAGAATTAAATCATGGCTATTGACAGGCTATTGACAACATGCATTAGGCCACCAAAATAACGCTGAAATACAGAAGATTTGTCTGTTAAGGTTGGTATTTGTAATACAATTAAATCAAGTGGAATTTGTGCAATTCAGGAACATCTTTTTATATTGGGTGTGACTTTTATGATAACTTGGTAAAATTTTCCAGAATACTCCTGTACAGTTTTAGAGTGATACTTCTTTGGATTGGCAGCTAGGACGATGTCAGTGTTTTAGATGCTGGCTTTCCTGGCTGCTCTAAATACGCAGGACAGTGCTGTAATTCAGATGGTTTTGAGTTTATTGCTATTCACCTAAAAATGTTTACTTTCTGTATTTCTTGAGCATGATAGGTATCAAACAATACAAATACCTGTGCTGACAACCAGACAGAGCCATAGTTCTAGCCATGATGGTGTGAAACAAGATTTGAACAGTAGTTCTCCCTCTGGAGAGAAAATACCAAAAAAATCTTTCCTGACTTGTAATTTTTCCCTATTTTTTTTTTTTTCATTTGAATGTTGACATCCATTTGTCCAGTGTAGTCTGTTTTGGGTTTTTTCCCTTATTTTACTGCTAAAGCATGATTCTCACCACTTTAACTTGCCTAACCACTTAACATGAAATGAAAAGACAAAACCATAAAACTTTGATGTTTTGAACAATAATAATCCATACCTCTTAGGTGGATCTAACTTATTTTTTTTTCTTTTAACTGGGCTAGTCAAATGATACTTTATTATGGCATGTCTTGTATTGTCTCTCTGGATGAAAATATTTTCTGATATTTTTTTTTTTAATTACTTGGAAGCGCATACTTTAATTTCTTCTCCAAACTTACTAGTATATTTTTCAATGGTGTATGTTGTTCTACAGAAAATGTGGAACTGATACTCAAATCAATCAGCAATCAACATAGTAGTGAAAGTCAGGATAATGACCAGCCTGATTATGACAGCGTTGCTTCAGATGAAGATACAGATCTGGAAACAAATGCAGCTAAATCAAACAGACAGAAGGTAGGTTTGAAATATTTTTTATCCGTAAAGGTAACCTGCTGTCAGTCTTGCCACTTGTGAGGAGATTTAACATGCATAAATTATGAGAAAATGAGTATTTTAATTCATTTTCAGCTTCATTTCAGAATCATCCCTCAGTCTATGAAATTTCTAACAAAATTAAGTGTTGTGACATAAGGAATTTACATTGTAAATAAAATACTCCTCTAGAAAAGTAGTGTTTGCCACTGTGCGTATCTGGAGATAAGATATAGATCTAATTACACAAATGAAATAATTGGATCTACCAAAACACTCTTAATCGGTGATTCCATGGTATTTGACACACTGCTTTCTACTGAAGAAATATTTATAGCAGCCCAAGAGTGACTGAGTGTTTTAAACCATTCCTGAAAATAATGCAGCATGGTAAAGGAGGGGCAGTAAACCTAGTAGCTGTTGTTTAGTCTTCCCTTGTAATATGCACACTGGATATTTAGTAATCTGTCTTTTATGACTTTCCAGTTCTTTATTGTATATTTTTTAAAAATCCTTATGAAACAGTATTGTGTCACTGAAATGCTATGCACAAAAACATTTGTCTCAGAGGAGCTAAGAGTTAACTGATGTAAAATTTCTTTTATATTGGACTAAAATTATTTTAATTAATGGATCTTACTAATTTGAACTTAATTTAAACCATGATTCCTTTAAAGTAAGTTCATGAAAAGCTGTTGAAAATCTCATTTTCTTGTTTTCTTTTGGTAATCTATTTCTTAATGGTGTAAGTATTTTTTGTCTTGCTGTTCATAGAGTCTGGATTCAGACTTGTCAGATGGACCAGTGACAGCCCAAGAATATATGCAAGTTAAAAATGCATTGGTGGCTTCTGAGGTAAAGATTCAGCAGTTAATGAAAGTGAACATCAACTTGAGCGATGAGCTGAGAATCATGCAGAAAAAGGTAACGAGCACAGTAGCGTAACCCTGATGTATTTTAAGTTGGCCAGAATAAACCTGCTGAAAGTACAGATGCAATAACCCAATATTAGGATAGTGAGAAAACTTTTTTTAAACGGAGCTGCTTTGGAATCAGATATGAGACTATAAATGTATATGTGCAGCACATGTTTTGAATGGTTTTTCGTGGAGATGATGTTGGTGATCTGCTTAGTTCACTTTGACCTAAGTTTTCCAAGTGACAAGGCAGTTGTTGCAAGTCTTGTATGTTTTTGCTGTCTTGCCTCAAGAGAAGCAGTTTTCAACAATGAGGAAGTAAGTAAGCACACATCTTATGTCTGTGCACATATCTATATAATGTGCTTCCAACTTTTCCGGTAAATGTGTTGGGTTTTTTCCATTAATAAGCCTAGCTGGAATGAAGGGAAATTAAAATCCCAATCCAGTTTGGCAGTAGAAAATAATCTGAAATGTGGCAATACAATATAAAGTTCCTGTATACCAGGAGGCAAAGATTTATTTGTTTGTATTTGAATATATACAAAATACATATTTTTGAAATAGCACATAAAGGATATAGTGGTAAACTCAATTACTGCTTTAAACCTTCAGTGTGGGTTTTGTCTAGACAAGGATAAGGTAGTGGTATCTCTTTTACAACTGAATTACTATGTATAGAAGTCTTATACAAATGGTAAACTGAACATTTTCTGCTAAAATCCTGAATTTAAAGCTCCAAAAACCCAGTTTTGAAGCCAGACCTTCTAATACTTATATAAACAAATCAACAATTTAAATGCCTTGCCAATGTTCCGGTAAATAGAGATTTTTGTGGGATAAAGGAGGATTTCTATCTGTATTGAGTTCACTGTCCTGTCTGTCAAGCTAGCTTAGAAAGGGCTGGCTGCTTCCTCAAATTAATTCTTCATCTGGTGTTAAAAATCCTGTTTTCCAAATAATTACAATACTGCAAGACTTACAGTATGTGCTGCAGAAAGCTCTCTCCCTGTAGAGGAACTGTTGTTGCAGAGGCGAACCTGTGCTGAGAGCTTGTTTCCCTGTTGTTTCGGGGCAGAGAGGCTGATGCTTTGGAGAATGGTGGGGACCGTTGAGCTCTTCGCATCTGAGGCCAAGCTAATTCAGCAGATTCGAATCTCCTTGTCTGTGAAGTGCCATCCTTCTGTTACAATGGTGTTCAGCCTTTCAGGTCTATTGGAATGGTGAATACTGAGAGGAACCTAAGAGATCTCAGGGTGTTTCCTTGGTCTTTTAACAGCTTGCACTGGTGAAGCATTTCTCTGCATCAATTTAATTAACTTTTCACTTATATTGAGTTTCTTTAAACAGATATAGTCTGTTTAAGGTTAAAAAATCTTTAGGGCCTATGAATTAATGACACTTTAGCCATGTATATGTGGTGTAGCAGAAGAGACATCATTGCTGTGCTGCAGTTTAACTTGTTTTGAAAGATGGCATGGCCAGGGCTTACTCCATCTTGAAGACGACTTGTTGCACTATTTTTATGTCCTGATGACGTATATAGCCGTGGGGCTGCTTTGACTTAGTGTTTGCTGGCTCTGGATTGGTGAAGAATCGCTATAGCCGTGCATGATTGCAGAATGCAGGATGGGAGGAAGGGGTAACAGCCGTCTTGGCTCTAAGCTGCTGGGAACTGCAGTACAATATGGGAAGTCTCTGCTGGGTTATTTGTGGCAAGACACCAATACATTTGTACTACTTCAGAAATTTTAATGCAATAGATGTCATTCAAGAGTCTTTGGTTTTTTGGCTTTTTTTTCTAAGCAAGGGCTTAGAAGGTCATAAACTAAAAAACTCTATCCACTTTATGTATCACCTTATTAGCCAATGGTGTATCTAATCTTTTGCATGGCAATTCCTAAGCAAAAGATGCTCATTAAAGAAGAGGCAAAGCTGCACTTGATGAATGCCACTTTAGAGTAGATTCTTTCGAAATAAAAATGAAAATAGTTCTGTTACTTTGATGGGCATTCTAATGGAAATGCAGACCTTTTTTTTTTTTTTTTTTAGCTGCTTATAGGCGGGTAAGACTTTGGTCTGAGTTTACATTAGCTGTTGGCTAAAACTGCACCAAAAGCACAGTTATAAAATGTGGAAGAAGTTTGGAAGACGATGACTATAAAATTGACTTATTTAATTGCCTTTAATGTCAAACTTTAGAGGGATAGCTTAGCTCCTGCCTGATCCTCAAATCTTAAGACTTGATACATCTTAATACAGAGCACACAGAAAGTGAGGAAAAAAAGCATTAGTTATCTTGATGGAAGTCTGCTCATTTAATTTAGGGTTCTGCAAAGTGCTCTAGGCAAAATAGGATTTTTTTTTTAAATAGAGATAATGTTCTTGAAGGTTCATGTGATGCAAAGTAAATGCAAGTAGTAAATATGCAATTTCCTGTTTAAAAGGCCATCAGCTGTTTGAAAAATACTCAATTATTGTTAGGGAGATACTGACTGTTTTACATCTTTTCTTTATGATGTGTTAATATAGCAAACTTAATCCGAGTAACTCCATAAAAAAAACCACCCAGAATTGTTGCATTTTTACTATTCATCAAATACATAATAATAAAAACCTTTAAAATTATTTCTTGTTGGCTTCTTAGAAAGCAGTAGCTGATACTTAATTTTCATAAGCTAAACTCTCTTCTTGCTTTGCAGAGCAAGCTCTAGTTCTCTTTGCGCTGCCTCTGGTGTCTGTGCTGTAGTTTTGGCATTTTCAGATTTGATGGGCCTTATGTTAAAGTCCTCTTTAAGTTTTTGTATTGACTGCTGAAATGGATCACTTTGCTTGAAAAACTGTTTTGTTGGCAGTCCTTCCCCCCATGAGCTCATTATATTACATGATTCATGTGCCAGTACAGCCAGGCTGGAAGAAATGGATTGTGTTGGTTTTTTTTAACTAAAACAACCAATTTTAAGATCTAATTTAGCTTGCATCCCAGCAAAAAGTGCTGGAAATCAGCACATAAATATTTCTGGATGTGGAACATAGATGTTTCTGTTTATACTAAGCAAATCAAGTAGACTTTGAAAAAAGAAATCAAACCCCAGCTACTAGTAGCTGGATTTACTAGTAAAGCTGACAAGCGTGTATTGTTTAGTCAGTTTGGTTTTGACGCTTGCTCTTAGAAAAACAAAGTCCCACTGCTAAACATTTCTTTCAGCTTCAAACGCTACAGAGTGAAAATACCAACCTCAGAAGACAGGCCACAACCAATATATATCAGGTCCAAAGTGGTTCTGAGTACACAGACCCTACCAACAATTCTTCTTTAAAGCGGCGACCATCTGCACGGGGTAGCAGACCCATGTCCATGTATGAGACTGGATCAGGTCAGAAACCCTACCTCCCCATGGGAGAGGTCACATACCCAGAAGAAAGCATAACAAGACTGCAGCCTTTCCCTCCACATGTAAGTAAAACTGCTGATGCTTCTGCATTTCTTATGTTCAGCTTTTCTGTCTATTCCAACTGTTCTCTTTTACCAAAGCTGCTCAACTGTCTGCTTCAGAGTGAATTTGAACTGTCAGAATTGTTAATGTTTGCTGTATTAACATGTCTGCAGGATCTTGATGTTTTGAAAAGTAAAAGCTATAACAACTCTGGAATATGTAAACTGGAGCTTTTGGCTTCTGCTCAGCTGTTTCTTTTAACCACAATGTATATGCCAAATATCAATGTGTGGCTGTTTGAAAACCAGGAGGGGGGGTGGGGTGGAATAGTATTCCGAGAAGGTAGGGTGAAGTTCATGGATTTCTTTCTTGAGATATACAGGCATGTGCCAATTTGTGGAACTTCAGAACCACCTTTCAAAAATAAAAGTGAAGCTAACTTTTTCGGTAGGCCACCAATTTCTTATTCTGAGTTTGGAACTGGAGGCTGAAGATGGTTTAGATCTGTTAGTTGAACAAATTCTTCTGGTTTAGTATTTTCCTGTATGATGTGCTAATAGTGGAGAGGGAGTTCAGCATTAGCCCCAAGGATTCTGCACTGACGTGTTCACACTTTAGATAAGTGACCCAACAGACACTAGTGCTTATTAAAGTTTTTTGTTTGCCCTGTGGAATATGGGACAATATTTTTTAGGCACGTATTTAACATTTGTAGATTTGGTTCAATATATTTCCTTGTTGATAGCACTATCTTGTATTTCCTTCCAGATAAACAATTAAACCCTTTAAAACATATTGGCATGTTGATATAAAGGCAGCAAGAAATGCCAGAATTCTTTTGTATGTGGCAGTGTTTGCAAAACATGACGGTGCTTTGTAAAGGGCCTTTGGTCATTTGGCTTGAAATTTGGATAGAAGTAGCGGTTCTGAAGCATTAATTTGTTACGTGGAGTTAGTTAATTTGGTATTATGGTGAATGTATTTTATTCTCTGTGGAACTTAGCACCTCCGGAATATCAGTATTTGAATTAACACGAAGTCAATTGTATTTTGAAAGAATTAAGTCCACTCGGGCTTAGCCAAATTCTCAAAATAATTCTTACTTTGTCATCTCCATGGTTTTAAGAATGTTCCTTTATTTCCGTTAAGAATTTATTTGTGTTTTGTTTTTGGTTTTCCCGAGTGTTTTTCTCTTTCCCATTTTTAGATCGGGAGGAGTGCGTTTGTGACCTCCTCTTCATCTCTACCTTCCTTCCCCTCCACGCTTTCCTGGTCAAGGGATGAAAGCACACGAAGGGTTAAGTACCTTCCCAATCAGTCTTTTACCTGGAGGAGGTGGCAATCTCCCCAGAAGCCGTTATGCCTCTGTCTTCTCCCCTTTCATGCTGATTAGCCTTCATGCTTGCATGAAGCAGTATTTCATCACTTTCGGTTTCTTCTGCCACATGCTGTGGATACTTGCCTCTCTAACTTCACAACAGCTAAAATCTGTAGCATTTAACACTGTGCACAGTTACTCCAGATCACTCGTTCAACTGTCTAACGCTGAAAACAGCCAGAAGACAAGTTGGTTGCTGTTTGGAAAGTAACCTGGCAGGGTTATATTTCATAAGCCAATACATAACTCTCCCTACTGACTAAAATGCACTGCATGAGGCGTATGAAGCTCACTGGATCCTAGCTTTAAAGCCTGCTTTCTTTGGGGGCTGTCAATTTGCACCAGTCCAAGTTGGTACTGATTGACCGTTATCTCACAGATGTTCTTTAGTTTGTTTGAAATGAGTTCTCGAAGCATCCAAACAGTCATTTGTATTGCCCTCCCATACGTTTAGTGTCAGGTAGCCTGCTTTCTGCTGACATTGATAGGCGAAAGTCTGAATGTGCATGGGAGTTGTTTTTAGCAAGATTCCTTTCAGGGCAAGGTTAAAGACACTGAGAGTGTATAAAGGAAGCTTATATTGGTGTTCCATCAGGATCTACAAAACTTTGTTCTTAGGGGTTTTGTTAGCTACATTACTGACTCTAGGGGAAAAAAATTGCAGTGTTACCAAGAAACATTAAATGCATTCTGTAAGCTTATGTTATTCCAAAGACACTGTCTTTGCTGTGGCCTCGTATGTGAGCTATTAGCTATTTGAAGAAACCCTTGTCCAGCTGCTTAAACTTTTCTTAAACACTGTTCTCTCTTTTTGTAGTGGGATGCTTAAATCTAGTCTTACTCAGATTCATTTGCTAGAAGCGAGCATAAAATGCCACCTTGCCCTAGAATGCATTTAGCAAGACAAACAGTTTGATAGAGTGGTCTGTCTGTGACAGCTTCTTTTTAGACTGTTTTATTTGGGATCCTTGAACTAATTGCAAGTTGCATATTCAAAAGAAGGGAAAAGCACGTTGCATTTGCAACTCTAGAATAACGTCCGGTTTTGGCTGTGAAGGGGCTGTGACTGAAGTAATGGGCACTAAGCAGGTACAGCTTGATGTGTCACAGACTAATGAATGCTGAAGACGAGCAACCCATAGGTTTCACACTGCTGTTTGACCAGCCTGAGCTACCAGCTTGCACTGCTTGCGTAAAGTACCCTCCATCATCATCAGGAGTTGATTACATTTCAAGGTCTTGCTCTGACTAAACCTCGTTAACTTAGCAAATATCGATACAGGGTCCTTTGGACTGGTTCTAGATGTTTATGTCTCATTTCTTAGGAAATGAGTAGCTTATATCCATTTTGTTGTACCACATGTTCAAGACTTAGGCTCTGCTTATTTCTGTGTTAAGACTTTCTGAGAGTAAACTTGAGAGAGAAGTATTTGTATTTCTTTGTAAGACTTAACTGATTTTGAAAAAATCTTTCAAGAAAAGTTCTCTCTTTTTGCTCTGCTTTTTCTGTGTGGTTAGTATAATGAAGTTATTGTCTCGTTCAGTTTTTTGGGTAAGCATAGTAGAGTCTCTAATCAAATTTTACTATATAATACTAAATTTTTCAAAAAACACATCTGTGGGTTTAGATGTTGAATGATCATACCCTGGCCTCTTCCTGCCAGGATAAAGAACCTGCTTTTCAAATTCTTGTGTCCCCATTTTAACTGTACAATGTATGGACATATCAGTCAAGAAAATATTAGATTTGCAAGTAGGACTAGATGATAAAACTTAGAAGGGAATATCCTGCTTGGTCAAATGCAAATCTAGGTTTGGCTGCAGCTGATACCAGTACTGTGTAGTACTAGAAACTTGCAGAGGTTTTGTTTCTTTCTTTTATTGTACACTGATTCTATACTGTATTACTGATTCTGTAATATCCTATTCTTGTAAATCATTGTTGTCATTTGTATTTCTGAGCATAGCATACAGCTTTGCCACTAATCGTATTGTTTTCCACTATACATCTGGGAAAAGGGAAAGATCAGACCCTACATGTAATAGCTTCATATCTTCAAAATATGTATCACTTTTACAATTGATTTTTACTAGCTATCCTGAGAGGTGAGCATTAAAAAAATGCTGGTTTTTTCCTTCTGTGCAGAGTAACTTTAAAATGGACGGAAAACGTTCATCCTCCAGGTGTTCAGAGTTAAGAATTGTTGGGTTTAACATTAAATGAGCGCTTAACAAATGTACTGGATCTTAACCAATGAAAACCAATTCCCAGTCACGTTTTTGGTCTGTCCTGGAGGTAGAAGTATTAGTTTGTAAGTGTATGGATTGGGGATGCAAATGGAAGGTGTCCCTTACAGTCTAACACTCGAGATTCCCTCTTCCTGACTTCAGAGTATCTGTAAGGCTCCACAGCTGGTTCTTCACTGGAGATTGCAGAGGACCCTCTTACCTGAGCAGTGTCTGTGACTAAGGCAGGAGCTGATGCGGAGGCTGATCTGTACGTAGAGTGGCACTGATGTGGCACACGAGCAAATGGATGAGCTGTAGTAGGCACTTCTGATGAGCTTTGCAATTTTTAGGACTAGAGTAAGCAGATGTGTGGTGATCCTGGGGCCTGGTTGAGGACGGGAGTGTGCCTCAGGGGCTTCAAGCTGCAAACTCATGAGATTGGTCTGATAGTAGGTATTCATAGCATAGACCTTCAGGATGTTGCATTGCCTGGGCATAAAAGATCCAAAAGGCTAAACCAGGTCAGAGGAGGGAGCCTAGCTCTCTATCTGAAAGTCTGCTTTGACTCTCTTGCTGACAGGGGGCTATATGTTCGGATCTGCAGGGAGAGTGCTCTTGAGCTGCCATGGTGCAAGTATGCTTATGGGTGTTAGCAGCCCTCCAAGAGGGTAAAACAAACAAACGAAAAAAGTTGAAAAGGAGTTTAGGAAAAAAACCCCAAGCGTCGTCCTTGCCCATGGATTGGATGCTTTACTGGGAGGTGCAGAACTGGTCTGTGTGGGAGTGGGAGGTGGTGAGTGTTCTGCCATCGCACCTGGGAGGAGGTGCATGTTGTCAGAGGCAGGGGGTGGGCGGTGCTGGTTCCTGGTGTGGGCGAAGTCACTGGTATCTCCTCAGGGAATGCCACTTGAAGGGGAGAGCTGGAAAATACTGAGCCTCTGGGCTCTGTTTATGGCTTCCACCCTCTGGAGCAGCACACTGCCACTGGGCCTTCCCATGCTTGGACTAGCCTCTGCTCTGCAGTGAGCTTCCCACGCTTGGTTCAAGCCTCCAACCCTGTCTTCAGCCTTCCCTCTGCCATGGTCCTCCCACTGTAGGTTTGACCTCACCTTCTTTGTGTGCCCCCCAATCCAGGTTTGGCCGCCGCCTCTGTGGTGGGCCTCCATTCTGAGTTTGGAGTCACAGGCTCAGTTCAGCCTCCACTCCGTTGTGGGCCTTCACTCTGGTTTCGGCCTCCGCTGTGGATTTGGCCTCCAAGTTCGTTTTGGTATCCCACTCTTCATTCAACCTTCTCTCTGGGATAAGCCTCCCACTTCGCAGTGGGCCTGCAACGGTCCATCCAGCCTCCACTTCCTTGTGTGCCTCCTGCCCTTGTTTCAGCCTCCACTTTGGAACTGGCCTCCCACCCTCCTTTTGACACCCTTGTGTCATCCTTCAGTGACCGTCTACACCGGATGGCTAGGCCTCCTGCCCTTGTTTCATCCTATGCTCTGCTATGGGCCACATCTCTCACTGATTTGGCCTCCCAACTTTGTATCAGTCTCAAGTGTTCAGCGGGCCTCAACTCTTCCTGTTTTGGGCTCCCACCCCTGTTTTGGCCTCCAATCTGCGATGGGCTCCAAGTCTCATTGATTTGGCTTCGTACATGCCCTTTGGTCTTCCTTCTGCAGTTTGGCTTCCACTCTGCAATCATTCCAGTCTCCTGTCTTTATTTTGGCTTTCCCATTGCAACAGTCCTCAACCCTCTTTTTGGTCTCCCATTCTGCGGTAGGCTTCCCATGCCCAGGTCAGCCTCTGCTCTGTGGTCAGACCCCCGTGCTTGATTTGGCCTCTACTCTGCCATGGGCCTCCCTCACTTGGTTCAGCCTCCCACCTTGTGTTGGGCCTCAGTTCTTGTTTCAGCACCCACGTTTGTGGGTACAAGCTGGCAGCAGGAGCCCGGCACAGGACGGGTGGGCGCACCGGGCTCCAGGGTAGCGGCTGGTGCAGGGGCTGTTGTGCTCAAGAGCAGGCCTGCATACGCTGGCACAGCTCGGGGCTGCTCTTTCCTGCACAGCACTGAAATAAATCTGTATTCATTGCAGACTTCAAAGCTGGAGAAGCAGAGCAGCGTGTCTGAGAGTGACTACGATAACCCCACCGCCCCCCTAGAGCTGGAGGAGACGGGGTAGGTGTTGCGACGCAGAGCTAACGGCACGGTGATGCGAAGTTAATGGCGTGGTGACACGGAGTTGATGGGGAGTTGCGTGAACAGCCAGTTCTGTCCCACAGGGCCGACCTCCGCTTTGTTCCTTTGCAGGTCGGGCAGGAAGGGCCGGCAGAGGAGCGTCATTTGGCAGGGGGAGGGATCCATCCCGGAAGACGCTGACACAGCTCCCAGCTCCAGTTTGCCCAGTACAGAAGATGTGATTCGGAAAACTGAGCAGATCACTAAGAACATTCAGGAGCTGCTGCGAGCAGCGCAAGAGAACAAGCATGACAGGTAAGGAGTGGGTGCTGGAAAAGCTGTGGAGTTTGTGAGAAAACGAAGAAAATTCTTCAGTGTTTTCAGAAGTACCGCCACCACCCACCATGTTCACACTGGAGATACTGATTGCACACCTGCAAAGCTTGTAGGTCTGTGGTGTTTCCTCGTGTACTGGACCCAGTGAGAGTGGGGACAAGTGATCAGCACAGGCAGTGGGAACACACACTCCCGTCCAAAAAGCTGGTGTTGGCCCCCTTGCGAGTGGATTCTGGCTGCAGCCTGCCACCTACCTGCCTGCCCTGCCCAGAACTGGGACGGGGAGCGCTGGCGAGCAAAGCGCTCGTGAAGTCCTGCTGCAGAATGAATGTTGGGTTAGATATAAATCAAATGTGTTGCAGAGAACTTGGCGTAAGTTTCTCTTGGATCTTCAGACCTCTGTGTCCTTAGGTAGGGACACCCCACAGAAGTGTGACAGTAACACCACGTCTGGTTTCAGGAAAAATTTGCAAAGGCAGGGAGAATTTGGCTTTCTTACTGAAATAGTAGTACCAATAACGTACCAGCAAAAGCTATTTGGAACTATTGGTTTAGATACCAACGTAGCTGGGTAAGCAGGACAGTGTTCATCACCACATCAGATAGCACGCAGCTTCAGCTCCCTCAGGGAACTTCTGGCCCAACCGAACAATTAATTATCAGAATAGCCACGAGCGAGTATAAGTGACACTGCCCGTGACTGATCATCAGGTGGTGCTCCTGCACAGCTATCTTAGAAGACTGTAAATAAGAGTTACGTCCTCCCAGGTATGAACATGTTTTAGGTTTGGAACAGCTTTGGTCTGCAGAAAATCTGAACTTGCAGCCTGGCAGGTCTTCCATTCTGCCTCCCAGCCCAAGTTCTGCACCCATCTTTGCCCGCGAGAAGCAGCTGCTGATTTACGTTAAGCCCTCGCTTCCTGCCTTGCCCAGAGAAGTGCGCAACAATGGGGCCACTTTTGTTCTGTGTGTTGGGTTTTTTTTTTCCTTCTTGTACTTTTCTATTTTTAGAAGGGACAGCGCGCAGCCTCTCCTTCTCACGCTGAATGGCGAGTTCTAACGTGTTTGTGCTGAGCTCATTGCCCTTGTCGTAACCTTTTCCACTGTGATCCCTTGTTGCTTGTTTCTCACAGAGAAGCAACAGAAAGAGAAGCTTTAAATGAGTTTGGGGTTTATATAGATCACCATTTACAGTATTTGAATTATATATTTTTTTTAAATCATTGAAGGAAACAATGCAGCATATCTAGCTTTTGCTCTTAAATTGAATAGATTTTTAAACAACCTGTTATGTTCTTTTTTGTTCGTTCTTCTGTGCCATGTGTGGAGTGGGGTGTTTGCCAAGTGCTTAAACAAGTATAATCTTGCAAAACACTGAACTATGAAGCTGCTGTTCTTTGTTTTCCTATTCCATGGCTTTGTCTCAGTGGGCTGAGAACTGCGCAGCCTGGGACATGCAGGAGATGGAGTAGGCTTGTTCCACCATTCTCTTCCCGCTTCCTTAAAATGGGATACTTAGGGATATAATAATACGTCTTCTTAAGCCAGTGCTGGGAACATTGTAGATAAAAAGCATGTGGTGCATAGATAATTGGAGAGTAATAAAATGATGCAAGAATATGATCTATTGATGAAACACCTTCTTCCTTTTTTTCCTCGCTTTCTTCCGTTCCTTTTCCTGTACTCAACTGGCCAAGTAGACCATTAGAGCGTGTGGGCTTGCCGAAGCTCAGACGTAGCCTCGGCTGCTTCAGCGTGGTGGTTCCCTGGGCTGAGAGAGCCGCCCTGCAGCCTCTGACCATCCCGCAGCCTGGTCCTGCCTCCTGGTACTCTGGCCTCTGTCCCTGCCTCCCAGGCACAGTGTCCTTT